GCCTTTCTCGTACCTGTATATATTAGTGTTGAACTGTGTTGGATGTGCCTAATGCATTTTTGATTGCTAATGCGAACCTTGCTTGTTAGTTATCTGTTTGATGAAAATGGATTGTACGATAATGCTTTGCACGCATATTGTGTAAAAAACCCCAATCTATTTCAGTGTCGGTGCTTATATTCCTCTCACACGCATATTTTCACATGGAACTCCTAGGTTTATCAATACCTTATGCTGCTTACATGTTTACGCCTGTACAAACCACTTGAAAGAAGTTCGTTTCTGGTTGGAATTAATAACATAATTAATTATTTGAATAATAAAATATTTTTATTTTTAAATATATTCCTTTAGTGTTAAAAATGTTACAATTAGTATATTTATATTTATGGCTAAATTTTTTATCATATATTTTTATTTTTAGTTTGTACCTATTTTTAATTTGCAAATATTTTTTAATTTGTACCAATTTTCTTTTCATTTTTTATTTGGACCCATATATTAGTTTCTTTTTGTGCCCAATTTTTTAAAGTTTTATTTATGTTTGTACCCATGTGTATACCGTCACGTGACATTGTATGTTTAATCAATGATAGAAACATTACATATGGTATATTTATGTTTTATGCCTAAACTTTGTATCATATATTTATATTTTTAGTTTGTACCCACTTTTAATTTGCAACATTTTTTTTTAAATTTGTAGTATTTTCTTTTTAGTTTTATTTTGCACCCATGTATTAATTTCTTTTAGCACCTATATTTTTTAAAAATTCATTTGTACTCATAATTTTTTAATCTTTTATTTGTACCCTAATTTATTTATAATGTAATGTATCACTTTGTTATATGTGAAATGTGCCTATTTTTTTTTGTAAAATATACCAATTTTTTTAACACTATGGATACATTCTGTTGCCATTTATTATTTCTTATTTTTACATAGTTTTATCCATTTATTAAATCAAAATGTTTGAATTTTTTTTTATTGTAACCGTTTCTAATAGTATTATAATGAGGGATTTAAAATTTATAGGATTATAAATCTCATAAAATATCAAACAATTAATGTCAAAAATATAAAAATATAAATATTAATAGTAATATAATGAGGTATACAAAGTCAAGGGACTTTAATCAAACTTTGAATACTATTAAGGTTTTAATCAAAGAATGTTAAATATTAGAGACCACATCCAAAGTATCCCTTAATTTTATTAGCAAACGTTGATGGAAAAGTCAAAGTGCAAATTGTTGAAGAAATGGAAGCAAATGTTAGTTTAGAAAACGTTGATGGAAAAGTCCAAGTGCAAATTGTTGAAGAAATGGAAGCAAATGTTAGATATTGTAGATAAACCAAACATCGGCACTCCTCTCCCAACCATACGGAGTCGTACCAAACTTGCAATGACAAATCTTGCATGTCCGTACACTCAAAATTCTATGATAATATATTCTAACTAGACAATATATTCTAGACAATATATTCTAAACTATTTACGATATTCTATATTACATAGATGAGCATGCGAACTTGGTTCAAAGGAGCAGATACGTTATCTTAGCCAACTCTTGGCTCGATGGGGTAAATATACTTTCATAACCAACTGATCTAACTCATATCTTGAGGAGTAATTATATTATTATAATCAACTAATTTAACTCTCTAATATAAATATAAAGATGAAGAGATTTAGGGACAAAATTCTCAATATTCTTCCCCCTCTCAATCTTCTGCCCAATCTGGAAAAAGAACAAAACAAAGAAAAGAAAAGAGAAGTAAAATAGAAAAAGAAAATTATATTATTCGTGTCTTTTGTCGCCTCTACTTGTCTCTCACTTTGTGCTTTGAGAAATCATGAATGTGCCGGCGGATTTACCATTTGTGGCGAACATCCATTAGCATTTGGCAACCACCCACTCACCCGCTCATCCACTCATCCACTCATACGCAGTTTTACCACGAGATGAGATTGGCAATGAGGAATGTGTTAAAACATGCATGCAAAAACACCATTATCGTAAACTTATAATCATCATGAACAATATTTCGTCCAAATCAAAGTACGTTGTTTGCTTTCTACAACCATATTTTTTATGACAACGTCCCGCCCCCAATGAGTAGTCTCCTCTTGCATTCTGTACCAAAATTCATGAACTATATGTGTAGTGTATTTTGTTTGGTTACAAAATGGTCAAACGTTGAAGATCATTCGAACTTTGGCCTCGAGTGCGGAGGTAAATGTTTACCGACACTACAACCTTGAGGAAATCTTTAGTAGATTGACTAAACTCTTTTCAACTCAAATTTCTTCAAAAGACTCTTCAAACAAATTAGTTATCCGTGAGTCAAGTTTAGTTTTCCAAACAGTGGATACTCACAAGGGAGTGAGTCTAGACAAACCCTTCCAATGTACTACATTTTTTGAAGTAATGTGAGTTTTACTTTAAAGAAACAATCAAGGCTTTCCAAACTTTGGCTAGCGATGTCGGAGAAGCATTATGAAAGTGGCTTAGTTATTTTTTTTTTTTTTTTGGTCAATAGTGGCTTAGTTATAAACAACGTACATTTACATCATTTCAAGTCGAAACTGACTATTTTTTAACCAGTATATAGTTGGAGGTGCTCTTACTCATCTACGATTTCACGAACTATATTCAATTGTAAATGTATGTGTGTTAGCATGCAGCATGCCTATCAAGCATTTTCAAGAAAAAATGTCCACATTTGAAAAGGCAAGTGCTTGAATACAGGTAACCGTATGAAGCATTTTCCTTTCGGTCTCAGACATCATGACTTTCTAACCAAGTCCTTGTCCTTCCCGATAATCTTGTATTGAATTTTGCTCTGGAAACTTTTTCAGAGGGTTTTATGAATATAAAATACAAAATTGCAAGGTTTATATTCTATTCAAGAATTCATTTCTTGGGTTGAATCTTAATTTATATATTCTTTGACATGTACCAAGTATTATTCTACCTACTTGTAGCAAATATTCTCATACATGTCTTTACTTATATAATTCATAAAGAGGGAGTATTTTCCTCGTAAAGATGTGCCCAAATAATGCAGAGCTTTGAAAGTTCTTGGAATATTTCATATGCAAATCATGCCATATAAATTTGAATTGTCCCTTATTAGTAAATATTCCTTGCCTCCTTTACCAAAAAAATAAAAAAATATTCCTTGCCTCAATTTTTCCTCTTGCTGAAAAGACATCGCAGTTTCCAGTTTTAAAATACACAAAAATTTGGAGATAGACATGCCACATATACTGAAGAAATTTTTTGGTGTAACTCTTACCTATTCTCATACGTTAATTACTATAACTCAAGTTTAGATCCTAAGTTAATGAAATTTAACTGTGTCTTTTTTATCCGTTGGTAATACGTGGTGATTATCATTACATTAAAGAATTTTTCCATACAAAGTATCAACAAAGCATAAAAAAAAAAGTGTTGATATAAGCTGTTTTTATTGAATAATACAATAGGACAATCTGATTCTTTCATTCCCTAGGGACTAAAAAGGACCAATCCAAGGTTTTCAACAAGTAGAATTCATGATTTTTGTCTCGTATTTCTGTTATATATTCCCCAGAATCAATGATATCTGATCTTTTAATTTAAAAAATTAGAATTTAAGCCCAAAATGGAATAAAAATTAAAAGTTAACTTAGGGATTTCTATTTTTAATTAAAGAACAAAGAAAAAGCAAAAAAACAAAGGGGGAGATATCAGACAAATTAGCAATCATGGACATGTATCTGTTGTGTAAACAGCATGTTGGACCATCCATCATTTTATTTTTGACTGCTTGAATGAATGAATGAATGAATGTTATAAACGTGAAGGGCTCACCATCATCTGATGCATATCAAGACACTTTTGATAGCACAAGATTTTCCCAGGCCACAAGGATCTAGGTCCCACCCTTTGGGGGCCCCACTTCTTTCACATATAGGAGGAGGCTAACATACTTTGTATGAGTGCCCTAGACATCCTCCTCTAAATACAAAAAACACAAGCCAAAAACAAGGGCCATAGAAAAATATATTTTGCAGGCAAAAAAACATGATTTCTTTTCGGATGAGGTAATTTATTTACTGGGTGGGTGCTTCTGCCTGAAGTTTCCTCTAGATTTTATTTATTTCTTTCTTTTTACAATATTTTTTTTGTTTTTGCATAAGTTGTAATTAAAAGGGGTGGTGGTGGTCCATTAAGTATACTGCTCATTTGCCTTGCATATCAAGCAACCTTCTAATACCTCCCTCTCTCTCTTTGCAACATTCATGGCCAAAGTATCATGATCAGCACTCCAGCTCAATACCCATGTGAGCACCAATCATCTTTTTTTCTCTACAATATATCTTTTGAACAATTTTTTGGCTTTATTATATATGCCTCTTAACTAAAAACTTTTGTGGGAAAATAAAAAAATAGTGGGACTGTAAAATTCCTGATTTCGTCTCTATCACTCAAAGTTTCTGCTGCCATGTATATATATGTACAAGTATATCTATCTTTGTTTTTTTCTTTCTTTTTTGTCATGAATTTAAATACCTTTGTTGACATCCACCTATTACCATGAAAAATACCAAACCATTGTTTTATAAGTATAAACATATGCATATATTATAATTTTCTTGTTTAAAACCTTATACATACTACTTTAAGCTAGACTAAAAGAGTGAGGAGGGTTTAAACTTATGACGTAATGAGTTAGTAAAAAATTGCTCTAATTATCAAAACACTCTACCAATTGCTACTTATACATTCAATATATATATATATATATATATGTATGTATGTATATATATATATATATATATATCTTTGTTTTTTTCTTTTTATTTTGTCCGCCTTTTACCATGAAAATACCAACCATTATTTTATACATATAGACACATATATACTATAATATTATACATATAAATCAATTTTTTCAATAAATATTGCAAAGATGGCTTCATCTGCTTTTGTATTTGTGCCTTAGTAACAGCTGTGAAGGCCGTTTCTTGCCTTTTGCTTTTGTAGTCAAGGCTCTCTAGCTTTCTTTAGAGCAAAACCAACTTGGTTTTCTTTCTCTCTTTCTATCCTCTTCTCGTATGTCTCTGTGCATCTCTCTCTCTCTCTCTCTCTCTCTCTCTCTCTCTCTCACAAACCGCCTAGCAAATAAGGCTTTAAGGGCTTAAAGGTGGTATGTAGTTAGGGGTTTGATGACAACTTTTCCTTTTTTTTCTCACTGCCCCTTCAGTTAAAGTAGAGAGGGAAACTCTCATCTCTCTCTCTGGTGTTTTCCATGGTTAAAGCAGGTTTATAGCTCAATCTCTCACTGTGACAGTTTCTTTCTTTTTCTCTCCCTAGCTTACCTCAGATCCCTCTTCTCTCCTCCTCACTGATTTTCCTCAATCAAAATATCTGTATTTCTGTCTTGGGTTTCATATATCTCACTTGGGTTCTGCAAAAATCCCTCCTTTTTCATATTAATTGGATTCGGCAAAGGGAGAAAACTTTACAATCTTTCAAAACTTGTTTACGATATTTTGCTTCTTTCTTCATTAGCTTGATGAAGCTGTTCTTCTTGCCTGATATTTAGTTCGTATATCGATCCTCAATCAAATTCCCAGAATCAATCCAGCAAATATATATATATATATTATATCGAATATATGTTTTTCATTACTCTTTTTTAAGAGTTCCCTTTTGTGCACACAGTTCATCAGCAGATCTCAATCAAATTTGTGTATGAGTTGTGTATAGAGAGAAAGCGGCTGGGATATGAGCAGCAGGCGTTTTTACAAGAATGACGAAAATTTCACAGAAGACGGTATGTTGATGAGTTTGAGAGAAAGTAGAAGATAGCATCTCATTTGAAAAGAGCAATGAGTAAGAGTAATTTGGGGTCCATCAGAAGTTCTGATCTCATTGATGCAAAGCTTGAAGAGCATCAGATGTGCGGATCCAAGCAGTGTCCCGGTTGTGGACACAAGTTCGAAGGAAAGCCGGTACGAGTAAATCATATTTATCCAACAATTAATATTCTTAGCTTGGCATATGAAGAATTATGGTTCTTGCATAATATTGTTTGATAGTAATTCTTTTGAATATGGAGTAAAATTTTATGCTAATATAAAAAGGGTCCATCTTTATCTTTTACTTTGATTTGTTTTATGGGTGCTTTAATTCAATATTTTTAGTTGAAATAAAATTAAATGGAGCTAATTTGCTTGCAGGACTGGTTAGGTCTACCAGCAGGAGTGAAATTTGATCCAACAGATCAAGAACTAATTGAACACCTTGAAGCAAAGGTAGAAGCCAAAGACTCCAAATCTCACCCTTTGATTGATGAATTCATCCCTACAATTGAAGGAGAAGATGGGATTTGTTACACCCATCCTGAAAAACTTCCAGGTAAAAATATTTGAATATAAATCTCTATCTCTCTCTCTCTCTCTCTCTCAAATTAGTGAAGTTGAAATAGTATGATTGGCAATTTGCAGTTAGTTTTGTTGCTTACCATACACTACTTCAGCTGGTTATGACTTAATTGAAAGAAGCTAAATATTGTATCACATTTTGTCACACCTAAGTCAACCTAACCTTTTGATTTGGCAATAATATTAATTTCTTGCTCACATGATTTCTTGCAATAGGAGTCACAAGAGATGGGTTGAGCAGGCACTTCTTCCATAGGCCATCAAAAGCCTACACAACTGGGACAAGAAAGAGAAGAAAAATCCAAACAGAATGTGACTTGCAAGGAGGGGAAACAAGGTGGCACAAGACAGGCAAGACCAGGCCAGTCATGGTGAATGGAAAACAAAAAGGCTGCAAGAAAATTCTAGTCCTCTACACTAACTTTGGGAAAAACCGAAAACCCGAAAAAACGAATTGGGTGATGCACCAATACCATCTTGGGCAGCATGAGGAGGAGAAAGAAGGAGAGCTTGTGGTGTCAAAGATATTCTATCAGACTCAGCCAAGGCAATGCAACTGGTCTGATAGAGCTAGTGCTACAACTGGAGAAGGAAGCAGTGATATTATGGCTACTACTAGCAGAAGAGATAGTGGGAGTGGGAGTTGTTCTTCTAAGGAAATATTACCTTCTCATCCTCATAGAGATCATGATCAAATGGCGGCAACAGCAGTAGCTGCGGTTGCTTCTGCTGCTCCAATTTCAAGCTACAGTGGCATTGACATTCATCAGCTGAAGTCAGACCACTTCAGCTTTGGCCCCTTCAGAAAAAGCTTTGATGAGGTAATTAACAATTCTAATTTTCATGTTCTCATATATACATTAGATAAATGCTTTCTGCATCTTCAACTTCAAAACAATTAAATTAAAATTTAATAAGATAATTTGTTTTTGGAGTCTTTTAATATGGGTCAAAAGTAACTAAAAATTGGACATATTTCAAAAATCAAAAGTCACTAAAAATTGGACCTATTTCAAAAGTAGGCCTATAAAATTGGAGCTATTTCAAATTTTCCCTTTTTTTTGTCAAAATAAGATAAATTTTATTAACTAATGTTTGTATTTACACATCACTTTTCATATTATGTCGTCTAAAACCGTGATAAGACTAGCTTATTCATTATTAAATTAAACACTTACAAAAAAATTTCATATATGCATGCAAATACTTTCTAAAAATTTAATTAGCCATACGTGGTAATAATAAAAATGTTTTCTATACGCTGTCATTTTCTTCATAACCCATTGCTTGCAATTGCAGCATTACAAATTTCATGGACCACTCTTGATTTCATTTCTCAGCTAATAAAACTACTTTACATACCAAAATGGTACAGATTGAAATCAAATTTCAAGCTGCTCGACTAATAAACACACACAGAAATAAATAAAACAAAGGAAAGATTAATATGAAAATGAAGTGAATAAAATGTGGTTGATATAAAAAAGACATGGTAGCGGATTTGTTCATGAGGGTATCCATTTGCAGGTGGGGATAGGAGGAGAGGCGTCGACGGCAAGGGAAAGACCAGAAACTGGCACGTGCGAAGAGATACAAGAGCACCACCAGAGATCAGTAGCAGTACAGCGTCATCATCACCATCATCATCATATGGGCCATGAACTAGTACCTGATCATCAGCAGCAGCATCAACATGAACATCAACAACAGCAGCAGCAGCAACTGCACCATCATCAACAAATTGCAACAGCTACAGCTTTCCACATCAATCGCCCTTCACATCCCATTTCCACCATCATCTCTCCATCTCCTCTCCACCACACCTCCATCATTCTTGATCAGGACTCCTACTCCCGGTTGATACTTCAAAACGAAAATTTCCAGGTAATATTCCATCAAACCCCATATCTTCGGACTATCACAAGTAACCCTAGCTAGCTAGCATATATAAGTATACATAATGAAGCAATATTTTTTACATACTATAAAAATTGAACTAATCACTTTTTCACCCTACTCCACTGTCACTTGAATTAGAGCTCATCACCAGTAATCAGCTGGTGTATTTATTCTAGTTGGTTTAGTTTTACATTTGTTCATTTTTTAGTGGTCACATGTTATAATTACTTGGTGCATACACTTGTGTTCACTTTGTGTGCGCAATTACTTGTCTACTCACTTGTGACCGTATTTTATAGTATAAATTTTATAAATGAAACTGTTTATTCTTTAGTATCATTATCTGAAGATTATTTCTGTAAAAGATCAACCAAGTTGGAGATCACTTAGTCATTTATTTAAATAAAATAAATAGATGGTTCATCACGAAAATATTACTTGTTATCAAAACTGTTAGATACAAATATTGTCATCAATTTACATTATGCCGCCAAACTTTCATTGAAAATATATTCCTCAACCAAACAAAGAAAGGAAGGAGGAAAAATAAAAAACTGAGTCAATAACTCGGACTGAGTTGCACCTGCGAAGCCCGTTATCACATGACCAAACCCTAGCGTCTATGCCATGCTGTACTGTACATGTGGCAAACCAATCTCTGGTGTAGCTTTTAGTGTTTGCTAAATTGCAAACAATGAAACTGTCTTTTCACTTTTTAATCCTTGAAGACAATATCATTAAGATGTGCACTTATTCATTTATTTAATTTATATGTTTTTGGTTTGTTTGTCGTTAATTTATATATTGCATTTATCTATCAATAAACAGGCACAGCAACAACAACAGCAGCATCAACAGCAGCAACACCACAACCAACAACAGCATCATAAAATGGGAGATAGGTCTGCATCTGGTTTGGAGGAACTAATAATGGGCTGCACTTCCAGCAGTAGTAATATCAAAGAAGTGAGTACATATATCAACTTTTTTACTCTGAATTTCATGACCTTTGTTTTGTCATAGTACAAACTAATTACAAGATAAAAAGAAGGAAAAAGTAAGCAAAGGATTATTAGAAAGAACCAAAAGCAACAAAGACCAATTTATTTATGACTATTAATTTAAATTAAAGATAGAGAGAAGCCAAAGCCTTTTTGCCCTTTTCTCTTTATCTTTTTTTTTGGCCTTATCATTTATATGTTTTGGAGGTTTTATAATCCTCCCCCAAAAGAAAAAAAGGAAGGTAGACACTTAGCATATCTAGACTCTAAGGGCTATACAGAATATAGTCTTTTTTGCCACCTGACAGTAAAGCCGTCATTATGTTGAATAATTTCAAACCGAAATTCAAAACACAAACCTTTATTACCCACCATTTTATTCTTAAATGAGGTAGTAAAAATCATAATAGGATCAAACCCTAACAACATATAAAGAATATATTTATTAATTTATATAGTGAGAGACCAATGTACATTGTGAAAACGACCGGCCGTCAATTGAACTCAAGTAGAAACTCTCTTTTTCCCTTTTAGAAAACAAAGGTAGTGATAGCCATGGACTGTGGTTCCCTGCTAATTGTAATTATAGTTTTACAGGAAATTATTTGTTGCAAAATTATCAGAAAATTAACTTTTTAGAAACCCTAATTAGTCCTAATTATTAATCTAAACGTGGCAAGCTTGCAATTAATTTTGTTGCAGGAGTCATCCATGCCAAACCCTCAAGAGGCAGAGTGGATGAAGTACTCTTCCTTCTGGCCTGACCCTGACAACCCAGATCATCATGGGTAGAAGAGCACACAAAAAAAATATATTAATAGAGAGAGAATAATAAACTCACCGTCATCGATCACAGTCACAGTCACAGCAACATCATTGTCATCAATCATCATTTTTATTTTCCCACCACCATCCCTCATGAAGTTGCTTTCGAAAGTGAGAAGCCAAGAAGTTATAACCATCCATGGTTTCGTTTGGTCACCAACTTTTTTCTTTCTTCTCTCTCTCGGCTTTCAACTGAACTAACTGAGCAAACGGTCCAATGTTGGAAAGGAAAGAGAGAAGAGGAGAAAGGAAAAAAGGGGGGAAAAGTAAAAGAAAAGAAAGAAACGAAGGAAAGGCTGCATGCTGCTCTCTCTTCTGACAAAATAGAAGGAGAAACCGAAGACCCAAAGCAAATCCATTGTTATTCTCTTCGTGCATGAAAATCATCACCATTATCATTGCACAATATCATCTTTATGGGCTATATCTTATTATTATTTTATTTTTATTTTTTAAATGTTTGTATAATGTTTCTTTTTTCTTGTTCTTTTACAGAAAAAAATATCAAAGAGTTTGCGCCAACTAATGCAACATATACTTTGTTAATTGTGCTCTAGCTTTGGTCAGTGGCTTTGTTAGTAAAACATCAATAGGGTTTCACATTGTTTCTCTTTATAGAAATGTAAATGTGTTATTATATTAAGACAACACAGTATCTTTTTTCATAGTGCTTTGCTTTTTGTCCACTTCTTTCAAGTTTCAATGTTATTGGAAAATAAATCCATAGAAACCAAAAAGAAAAAGGAGAAGAAAATTAAGAAAAGTATAACACATAAGGAACTAATTCTTAATGATGTCATGAGATATATATGCAATTGTTTTACTCATATGGTATATGGATAACTTTAAGACATATCTGGGACTAATTTGATAACCATTTTTATTTTTTATTTTTCAGTTTTTAGTTTCACATTTTTTTAAATGAAAACTAAAAACTTAGTTGGTAAACCATTTTTAGTTGTAAAAAATGAAAACTGATAATTAAATTTGAGTCAAAATTTGAAAAATCACAAAGGTAGCTTTAAGTTTTTTGTGTTTAGTTTTTGTTGAAAACTGAAAACAAATAACAAACAAGTTTTCAATTTTCAAAAACAATGAAAACTGAAAAACGAAATGGTTATCAAATGATTCTTTAATTTTTTTTTTTTCTTGTATGTTTTCCATTTTCTTTCGTAATGTATATACGCATATATCTTAAATATTTGCTAGTAAAGATCGAATTATCTGGATGGCTTCCAAATTATCAACAAATGCGAAGAGATTTCTGGCTCATATACTATTGTCTTGAGTGCTTGCATTGCTCTAGAATCCAGATGTTTTCCCGTCATGAAAAGGAAGTTTGCTTTCTATTTTTGTTAGGACAGAAACTTTACACTGTTGGTTCCCCATGCCACCAATTATGTGGCTCCCTACTTAACTCTTAAAATTAATTAGGATAATTACATTTTATGTCACTTCTTAACAAGTGATCCAAATGGAATATATCCACCTCTTAGTGGAAGTTGCACCCTAATTGGTCTTCTTTTATGAAAACAATGATATCACCATTCGTGGATTTCGAAGTCGAAGTGCATGCATGGCTTTTATGCTTTCTCTTAAAGGAGAAATTTTTAGTTGTGACGAGAATACAGATGATACATCATATGTTTTTATGTAAGTAGTGGAAAATTTAAAATTTTAAGTTATTAACCTTTTAACATACATATCCCACCATTTATATAGAAACACGTGATATATTACCTCATGTGACGGTCATATTGAAAAATTTCTCCTCTTAAAGGCGGTACGATGAGTGGTTTTCCTATATTTGAACTACTTAGCCACTAAAAAGGAAGTGAAGTGGGGTTCAGCTAAAATATAATCTTTTTATTAGAAATTAATTTGGAATCTTAGCTAGTATAATATATAGTAACAATGAGCTCACATTTTTAGTCGGTCTCTCCGTTGTTTAATTAATTTGTTACTTGAGGGCTTTCTTTGTTGCTTTATTCTATTCCATATTCGATCTTTTTCAGCAGTATTATAGTGTAAAGATATGCTTCTCCCTCTCTAATTAGCTAGAGAGAGGAGAGAGAGAGAGTAACGTGCATGCGATCTTTATTTTCATGGGACGTGCATGAAAATAGAAATAAAGGTTAAAACAACGTGGAGGATAATTAAGCAGCTTCATCGTAGTTTCTGAAGGGAATAAAGAGGAACCAAGAATTAAAAGACAAGAATAAACTTTAGTACTTGCAAAATGACCAACATCTCCTGATCGAGCCCTTATTCCGAATTACCCTGATTATACAAATACAATGGCTCTGAAATATGGATAATACTTGTACTGTTCTGGGTACCTACTTGTTTCCCTCACTTATAAGTTGTAATTAAAGAATCTTTACCGTCCGAATATCACAATCGAAACCAGTTATTCTCTTTATCATCATCTAAAGATCATATATGCAAAATATTATTCAATTTGGAGATCATTTAGTCATCCATGTGTCAAACCAATCAATGGTTTTGATAACAAGTAGCATCCTCATGAAGAACCTTCCATTTTTTTATGCATTCTCTTTATCATCATCTAAAGATCATATTTGCAAAATAGTATTCAATTTGGAGATCGTTTAGTCATCCCTACGTGTCAAACTAATCAACAATTTTGATAACAAGTAGCATCCTCATGAAAAACCGTCCATTTTTTATGCATATGAATGGCTAAAAATCTCCAAATTGAATAATTTTTTACATATTTGATATTTAGATGATGGTAAAGTAAGTAAACAATTTGGATTATGATCAATATTCAGACGATAAAAATTCATTAATTGTAAGGGAAAGAGGGAGGAGGGGACAAGTAGGTTCCCATAGGGGAAAACACAAACATTATCCCTGAAATATATGTATTTTTTAATTTTATATAAAATACATTAATGAACTTGTAAATTGGCGTATCCTCTGGCACATATTTATCGTATACAAACTAAAAAAACCCGACAGCATATATATTCATACTAATATTGTCCCAATTTAGCTAGTACAATTTATATATTTAGTTTATGTGCGCGGTACTACGTTTATTTGCTATTGTATCAGAATAACATCGAAGGGTTTATGAGTTGCAGCTGGAGATTCAACACTGTGTTTATGAGTTTAGTAGGTGTACAAGTAGGGTTAGCACTTAGCGGTAGCAAGTATATGTATTGAGATTTGTTGGTGTATAGAGATTTGGTCCCATAAAGAAGTTGCAGGAAGAATTGTGGGTGGTAGGTAGTGCAGAGACGAATATCACAACATGGCCAAACTCACCCTTTTTGTGATATATTCTTCCACAACCCACCACCCTCTTTTTATTTGCTTTTCATTTTTCATATAAAACACTCACACACACACACACACGTATATGGTCCACTACTGTTTCTGCTTCTGCTTATTCTAGGCTCTTATACATATCATTTGGGGATCGATCTTCAAGTAATTGTAGAAATGCATGACTATCTTTAGTTTGGAGAGTTACTTAAGCGTATGGTGCATGAGTGCAGCTCTTAAGCAACTACTTATATCTTAGGGATTTAAGTAATGACAACTTTTCATCATATATAATTAATATTGCCGTTTTGCAGATAAGTATATACGATATTGGGTAGGAGAATTTGATACATAATATTGAAGGAGACATGAGTAAACCCTCTTAACTACGTGAAGTACAATGCTCTTATTTTTTTCAGATTAATTTAACATTAGAATAGCGTTCCATGGATGGACGATTTGTATGCATAAAATATGGAAATTAGAGTTGTGATGGAAGGATGAACAACACAGATATGGTTTGTTAATTTACATCAAAAATCGATCTACAATTATGTTGTGAATACGGTATCAGATATAAAGACCAGATTTTTGTGTGTATATATACAGATACAAAATGGTAGACAAGCCGGCCCCATATATATGCCGACTAAAGTTGAAAATGAGCTTTCTTTGAAAAGCAAATGAGGGCCCAATTAGATCACATCAGTTTAAGCTAGAGAAGTTTTTATAATTAAGTATCGTCGATATGTAACTGGTACGGACTGAATGGGCAGCGTCCCATTGGACAAATAATAGAATGTAGGGCTTATGGATGTTGAAAACAATGCTCTAATAATAATTAATCATAATAATTGTATATATCCTAGGATAGGGTTTGGATAAGACTGAAAAGAGACATGTATAAACTGCCAAACTTTGAGTGCTTATAACGTATGTAAGACCGTCTTGAAACATCGATTGGAAGGAAAGCATGTACATGTATGTGATGGAAAAGAGTTTCAAATCAATCATACACCTGTTATGAAATTAAGCGACTAGCTAAACAAGAGATGATTAATATGTAGCAAAAATTAGAAACTGCATTAACAAAAGAACTGGTTTATAATTCTAAGGGTATGTTTAGAAGTGTCTTTATAACTCTAAGTAATCCCTTTTAACAACGTTTCATAAAAAAGTTCAAAAAAAAAAAACCATTTTTGAATTTCCATAGTAGTTCTTGGAAGCGCTTGGAATTAATTTTTTTGAAACTCCGCCTGTGTAAGTTTATTTTACATTGTCAGTCTCAAGCCCGGATAAAGGATGAGGGGGAGGGCGTCAGGTAGTCAACAACTGGGACTCCTAGGTTACGTCGAATACTTATGATAATGAATCCTGAATAAAATTGCGCTAAAGCTAGGGCGTCACCTGTAAGTGGCGCGCTGTGTGACCCAAGCACAATGATAAGTGAGCAAGGGTCGATGTATCTCCATCAGTGCTTGGATGCAACTCCACAGCAAGGGGGCCATAGAAACTTCTTTTTGAACAACTCCACTCAAAGTTGTTTGGAAGCATCTACTCCTATCAACTTTACACAGAACACGCAAAAGAAGTACTTTGATCTTATTAGACGGGGGAGGGTGAAGAAGCTAGGACAGGAGGATAGAGTTCAAGAGAGTAGAATGTGTTTGGGAATGTGGAATATAGGAACCTTAACGGGAAAATCTATGGAAGTAGTGGAAGTCATGGTGAGGAGAAGGATAAGTATTATGTGGCTACAAGAAACTAAGTGGGTTGGTCTTAAGGTAAAGGATCTAGAAAACTTTTAAACTTTGGTATTTGGGCACAAATAGAACGAGAAATGTTGTTGGCATCATCGTGGACAAAACCTTAACACAAGACGTTGTAGATGTCAAAAGGGTAGGAGATAGAATTATGGCAATTAAGATTGTAATAGGACAAGAACTCATCAAAGTGATTAGTGTGTACACACATCAAGTAGGGTTGGATACGAGTTTGAAGGAAAAAATTTGGGAAGATCTTGGAGACTTGGTGCGAGGAATCGCTCAGACGAAGAAGTTACTTATAGAAGGAGATTTAAATGGACACGTGAGCAATGAGACAGATAACTATGGAGGTTTTCATGGTCGTCATGGTTTTGGGGAGAAAGACGAGGATGGGGAAGCCATCTTGGATTTTGCAATGGCATATGATCTCTTCTTAGCCAACACCTTCTTTAAGAAGAGAGAAGAGCATGTCACCTACAAGAGTGG